CCTCTCCCTTTCCCAGGAAATGTTTCAGAATGTCCAGGGGGTATAGCTCAGTGGGAGAGCATTTGACTGCAGATCAAGAGGTCCCTGGTTCAACTCCAGGTGCCCCCTCTCTTTTCCTCTTCCTTCCACCTTCCTTTTGCCCTAAAAACTTTGCCACAGAAAATCCACGGAGAGCTCTGAGCTTGTGCTGGTTGTGAGCTGCAGCACCCAAGGAATCCCGGATTGTTGGGAAGTGCAGGGGTTGTGCTCTGTGTGAGAGCCCCTCGCTGCCTGTGGGCGCTCTTCTCTCGTTTCCAGCTCCCTGCAGGCACCAGATCTCCCAGAATTTCTCCTGGTTGCCATCGCTTATCCCGTTTCTCCGTGTGCAGCCCGTGGCAGGTGCCTTCAAGAGGTGGGTGTTGAGGGAGGGAATCCAATGCCTGGCCAAGAAAGCTCTTTTGTTTTCCCAATAAAAGTTAGATTTGAAATGTCCCAGGCCCAGGGGGTATAGCTCAGTGGGAGAGCATTTGACTGCAGATCAAGAGGTCCCTGGTTCAACTCCAGGTGCCCCCTCTCTTTTCCTCTCCTTCCACCTTCCTTTTGCCCAAAATTCCTTCCAGAAATCCAGGAAGAAGCTGCAGAGCTGTGGTTGGATCTCAGGAGTTTGTTCTGTACCCTCAGCACTGGCTGGGAGCTTCAGAGGATTTCAAATTCCAAGGATTTGTGCTCTGACTGTGGGGCAACTTCAGGGATGGTGTTGTGAACCCTTCACTGCTTTCCTCTGGAGTGACTTTCCTCCTCAATTCCATTTCCTCCCCCTTTCCTCCTCAATTCCATTTGCTCCCCCTTTCATCCTCATTTTCACAGTGAACTGCTGGAGTTTCCCAGCCTTTCCCAGGCACAGGAGGGGCAGAGGGAGGTGTGGATGAACGGAATCCAGGACAGAAACACTCCTGACTTTCCCAGGAAATGTTTTTAATTGTCCCAGGCCCAGGGGGTATAGCTCAGTGGGAGAGCATTTGACTGCAGATCAAGAGGTCCCTGGTTCAACTCCAGGTGCCCCCTTTCTTTTCCTCTCTCCTTCCACCTATTGCCACAGGAAAAATCCACGGAGAGCTCTGAGCTTGTGCTGGTTGTGAGCTCCAGCATCCAAGGAACAGATGGGAAAGTTGTGGGGTTGTGCTCTATCCATTCCCTGTCTGTTTGTGCTTTTCTCCAGCCTTAATTCATCAGCAGAATTCCTCATTTTCCCCATCATTTATCCCTGTACCTTTCCCAGGCACTCCCTGGGCTGCTCAGGGAGCTGTTGAGGGAATGAATCCAATCTCTGGACGAGAAACCTTTTTTTCCTTTCCCAAAAAAACGTTTTGAAATGACCCAGAGCTCAGTGGGAGAAGGTCTGGCTGCGGATCAGGAGGTTCCCGGCTCAGCTCCAGGCGCTCCCTCTTTTCCCTGGGGATTTTGGGGGGGTTTGCTCAGCCTCAGCCTCCTCCCCCTGTTCCCTCTTTTCCCTGTTTGTGGTCAGAGGTGGAAGAGAGGGGGAAAGGTCAGAGATTCCACAGAGGTTCTGAGTGGGAATGGGAATGGGACAAGGAAGGGAAGTTCAGGGGAGGGAAGGGAAGGGGAGGGAAGGGAAGGGGAGGGAAGGGAAGGGAAGGGAAGTTCAGGGAAGTTCAGGGAAGGGAAGTTCAGGGAAGTTCAGGGAAGGGAAGGAAGGGAAGCAGTGGATGGTGCAGCCCTGCAGGTTCTGCAGCAGGAGCTGATCCCTGAGGAACAGAGAGCTCAGGAATTTGGGAAAAACATCCCTTAGATGTTTTATGGAGGTGAGGATGTAGCAGGGGGTATAGCTCAGTGGGAGAGCATTTGACTGCAGATCAAGAGGTCCCTGGTTCAACTCCAGGTGCCCCCTCTCTTTTCCTCTTTTGTTCCTCCTTTTCCTCCTGCCCAAATCTTTCTTGGGAAGGTGCTGTGGGGGGTGCAGGGAATGCGGGCTGGGAGCAGCAAGGCCCTGGAAAAGGGCAGGGTGGGGAAGCACTCACTGTCTGTGGGTGCCTTTCTGCACTTTTCATTCTTAGCCACCATTTACCAGAATTTCTCGTCATTTCTCATCATTCCCACCATTTCTCAGCGTTTCTCACATTTCACTCCCTGCACAGCCTGGCAGGTGAAGGGATCCAAGCCACAGAAACACCTGAGCCTCTAAAAATGCCCCAAAAGGTGTCAGGGGGTATAGCTCAGTGGGAGAGCATTTGACTGCAGATCAAGAGGTCCCTGGTTCAACTCCAGGTGCCCCCTTCTCCCCTTTTTTTTTCCATGAAAAAATGAGGATGATTCCTCCTTTTTTAATACCCCAGCTGTCTGTGCCTGCACAGCAGCAGGGCTGGGAATTCCAGGATTAAAAACTGAGCACTCAAACTACACAAATCCCACAGGAATCTGACCTCTGGGGCAGGGCCAGAGCCCAGACACGACTTTGGTTTGTGGGCAGCTTTCACTGGGACACTCACCCGCAGTGGGAATAAATCCTGGCCTGGTTTTCAGGGGTCCTATTGCTCTTTTCCCTCAGCACAGGGGGTATAGCTCAGTGGGAGAGCATTTGACTGCAGATCAAGAGGTCCCTGGTTCAACTCCAGGTGCCCCCTCTCTTTTCCTCTCCTTCCACCTTCCTTTTGCCCAAAATTCCTTCCAGAAATCCAGGAAGAAGCTGCAGAGCTGTGGTTGGATCTCAGGAGTTTGTTCTGTACCCTCAGCACTGGCTGGGAGCTTCAGAGGATTTCAAATTCCAAGGATTTGGGCTCTGACTGTGGGGCAACTTCAGGGCTTGTGTTGTGAACCCTTCACTGCTTTCCTCTGGAGTGACTTTCCTCCTCAATTCCATTTCCTCCCCCTTTCCTCCTGAATTCCATTTCCTCCCCCTTTCGTCCTGAATTCCATTTCCTCCTCCTTTCCTCCTCAATTCCATTTCCTCCCCCTTTCGTCCTCAATTCCATTTCCTCCTCCTTTCGTCCTCAATTCCATTTGCTCCCCCTTTCCTCCTCAATTCCATTTGCTCCCCCTTTTGTCCTCATTTTCACAGTGAACTGCTGGAGTTTCCCAGCCTTTCCCAGGCACAGGAGGGGCAGAGGGAGGTGTGGATGAACGGAATCCAGGACAGAAACACTCCTGACTTTCCCAGGAAATGTTTTTAATTGTCCCTGCTTGCTCCAGGGGGTATAGCTCAGTGGGAGAGCATTTGACTGCAGATCAAGAGGTCCCTGGTTCAACTCCAGGTGCCCCCTTTCCTTTTTTCCCCCTTCTTCCACCTTCTTTTTGCCCAAATCTTCCACAGAACAAAACCCTGTGGAGAGCTCTTGACCCGGTTCTGTGCGCTCCGTGCTGGTTCTGAGGTGCAGCACCCAAGGAATCCCGGATTGTTGGGAAGTGCAGGGGTTGTGCTCTGTGTGAGAGCCCCTCGCTGCCTGTGGGCGCTCTTCTCTCGTTTCCAGCTCCCTGCAGGCACCAGATCTCGCAGAATTTCTCCTGGTTGCCATCGCTTATCCCGTTTCTCCGTGTGCAGCCCGTGGCAGGTGCCTTCAAGAGGTGGGTGTTGAGGGAGGGAATCCAATGCCTGGCCAAGAAAGCTCTTTTGTTTTCCCAATAAAAGTTAGATTTGAAATGTCCCAGGCCCAGGGGGTATAGCTCAGTGGGAGAGCATTTGACTGCAGATCAAGAGGTCCCTGGTTCAACTCCAGGTGCCCCCTCTCTTTTCCCCTTTTCCTGCTTTTTCACCCTTTTTTTTCCTCCACAAATTCCTCACACCCAGACCGTGGAAAGCCTTTCTTACCCCCTCTGAGGTTTTGGGAATCACTTGGTGATCTTTAGCCAAGCCTTTGCCACTCTGCTCTCCTGAGCTCTGCGCTCCACACAAACTCTGCGGGTGCCTCTCGAGTTTTTCCTGTTGGAGTAATTACCCTTAATTTAAACATGAATTAATTATGTGCAGAACGCGCTTCTAGAACTTCTGGAAGTCACAAGGAGCCGCGCTGAGCTGTTCCCTCCGGGCTCTGAGGTCCCCGCTCCGGCTGGGTGGCTGTGATGACACAGGTCAGCGTCTGGGTAGCCCCGGGGCTCGAACTCGTGACCCACGGCCCCGCAGGCGGCAGCGCTGCCCCTGAGCCACGCCCCGGGCGCGGGGCTGGGGGGGGGCGCGGGGGGCCCGCGGGGAGGTGGCGCGGGGGCAGCGCCGCGGGCTGGGGACCGCGAGGTCACGGGTTCGAACCCGGCCCCCTCCACCGGGAATCGCCGGTTCTGCCCCGGGAGATCACAAGCTCCAAACCGGGAGATGACCGGGGATAACCCGAGAGATCACTCGTGCTAGCTCAGGAGATCACCGGGGCTAAACCGAGTGGTTCACCAGCTGTGACCCACCCCAGCAGATCCTTCGTTGTAGCCCACCACAGACTGGGAGGTGCCAGGCTGAGGCAGCCCGGGCACGGCCGGAGGTGACAGAACCGCCCGGGCCCTGCTCCTGAGCGTCATTTGGGCCCCGCAGGTCCGAGCCGGCGGCGCTCCCGTCCCCTGTGGTGAGCACAGCCCGACAGACTCGTCCCGTGGCTTCAGCTGCTTCTGCAATTACTCACTTCATCATTTCCAGGCGTTTCTTTGGGATTGCTGCAGCCAGCCTCTTTTGAAACAAGCTCAGATCTTGTCTTAATTCCCTGGAAGTGGCCAAGGACCGGGTTTGGAGCAACCTGGGATAGCGGAAGGTGTCCCTGACCATGGCAAGGGGTGGGAATGGAGAGTTTTGGGGGTCCCTTCCCAACCGAACCATTTTGGATTCCATGAACGGAATGAAAACACCTCTCAGGCCCGGTACTGAGGGGCCTCCCCGCTGGTTTTCCCTCCCTCCCCCTCCCGCACCGCCCCTACTGCGCGCCGCCATCATCCCCACCACCTCAGCGGCGCGCCGGAAGTGACGCGTGGGGGCGGGAATGACGCACGGCTACTCCAGCGGCGGCGCGCGGTGATGACGTATTTCCTGCTCCGGTAGCAGCGGCGGACGCGCTCTCCCGGCGGCTGCGATGGGGGGGGGAGACCTGGTGAGGGGAACGGGGGGAGCTGAGAGGGGAACGGGGGGAGCTGAGAGGG